TAAAGTTCTGAAAACAGTGCTTCATGGTTCCCTGAGCACTGCTGGGTAGGGCCTCCTGTCCCACCCTCCAGAAACCTCCTCTGTTCACTGTCCTCCCATTCTCTCTCTCAGTAGTGCAAGGAATCAAATCCAGGTGCTACTCAGCCATATCCCAGTTCTCCCTTTGTCTTCTCTCTCTCTCTCTCTCTCTCTCTCTCTCTGTTTTGGGGTCATACCTGGTAGTGTCAGGGGGTTCACTCCCAGAGGTGCTCAGGAGACCATGCAGTCACAGGGACTGAACCCAGATCTCCATGCAAAGCCTGAGCTCAGCCCTGTGAGCTATCCCTCTGACCCTCCCTCCTACCTGAGTCTTCTCTACAAACAACATTTGTGACAGCTTAGGGTCTATTTGGATAGTCCAGATAATCTCTTAATGCTAACACACTGGCAAAAACTCCATAAAAGGTCACAGTTACAGATCCCAGGATTCCAAACCTAACCTTCAGTCACTCGGGGAATGCAGCCCTTCCCCAAGGCTGGGCTTGAATAGTGTGGGCTCAGGTTCAGGAGTAAATATAAAAGTACCAATTCATTGATGAAGAACTTGAAGAATGCTGGGAGATTTGGAGCTAGCCGCCTAGGGCTGGCATTTTATCGCCGATGATCTTAATAAGAGCTCTTCGGCAAATGGATTCAGTTTTATAAATGGCACCAAGCCTGGAAGAAGTTGTGCAATGGGTACAAGTGCAACAGATTGTGAAGAGCAAACATCTTGAGCTTTCATGGAACAGAAATAAAAAAGGACACACGGGAAACATTACTGGACTCCCGGCTCTCATCAGCATTGAAAGCAGTGACAATGCAAAAGCGTGGTCTGGCCTGCACGCTAAAAGTATCTAATGGACAGGGGGAGTCATTTCATTTGTATTTTCATATTCCATGAAATAAATAAATAAAGGGACACAATTCAGCTTTAGGTTTCAATGAAAGTTTTACCACTTGCCTCATGGTTAGGGATACTCCATGGATACTGGAAACTGACTCCGAATCAGAATGAGTTTATATGAAGCATGTTCATTGCATTTATGTTGCCAGGCACCATGAAGACCTTAATGCAATTTAGTGAGTCCTGTGCCTTGTCCCCTGAAAACATCAGGCTTCCAGCTACTTAAGGGGACACACTGTGGAAAAATAAAACTCTCACATTGTAAAGCCAATCTGTTGTATCATTTCCAATCCCACCCTCCTCTGCTCTTGTGGCCTCCTCTTCTCACACCATAAGGGAGGTACCTCTTTCATCCATCTGTGGGAAAGAAGAGCACTATCCAATGAGCTGGTGTCTATACCACAGAGATTTGGCTGCAAAATGTGAATTTGGCCTGGTTCATGTGAGATTTTGTTTTGCAGGAGAGGGAGGCATTTGGGCAACCTTCTCCTACTTCTGACTGGCAATTAGCACAAGGGCATTCACAGATCGGTTGGTTTCATTTATTTATTGATTTTGTTCTGGGGACTACACTCTGCAGTGCTCAGGGGCTACCCCTAACTCCATGCTTAGGGTGAGGGGAGAGGATCACTTCTGGTACTCAGAGGACCATGAGGCATAGGGATTGAACCCAGGCTTCCTTCAGGCCAACCTCCTGAGCTATATCTCTTTAGCCCGTCACTGAATCATTTATTTAGTTCATCACTGAGAACAAGAAGAAGAAGATGATGGCACCCTGGACAAGCTACTTCACTTCCCCAAGTCTCAGTGTTTCCTGTGAAGTGGAGAGTACTGGTGTCCAGTTCCACCTGCCACTGTATGGGGGCTTTTATTATTCCCTCACAGAGGAGGAAATGGAAGGCTGGTTAAGTTAAGTAACCTGTCTAAATGTTTACCCTGCAAGCGGAAGAGCCAGAATCTGAAGCCAGATACTTTGGCTTTGAAAATGATTCTTTTTCAGTAGTGAGCAATACTGCCCCTTTCTCTAGCTAAAAGTAGCCGGATTGCTCACTGGTTTTCTGTTCCAGGACCATTCTGATTAAACCACTTAGTCGTGGCAACCAGCTTCAAAGATGGACTTGCTTTGAACCAAATGTTTACTCCCTAATTTCCCCACTCCCCCAAATCCAAATGCCCACTCTGATCCCCAAAGTGATGATATTTAGAGGTGGATTCTGGCAAGGTTATAGTGTCAAGAGGGCTGAGTCCTCATGAAGGGGATTTATGTCCTTATATAAGAGACTCCAGCGAGCTCCCTCTCTGCTACCACTTTGTGACAGGCAAAGGCGCCTTCTGTAAAAGAGGAAGTGCATACTCATCAGAGCTGCCCCATGCCAGCACCTTGATCCTGCACGTCCCCACCTCCTAAACTGGGAGAAATAAAATCCTCTTATGTACAAGCCACCCTGCCCATGGTACTGCTATAGAGTTTGGCTGATGACAATGGTCCCTCATGATCCCTGACAGCCATGTACCCTCCTTACCTTTTCGAGGTTGGTCTGTGGTCTGTGGTCTATGGCAGAAGTAATGCTATGCCACCCTCTCTCACTCTCTGCCCCCAACCCCCACCCCAGCCAACATCTTGATTATAACCCTGGAAAAGAGGGGAGAGAGAGACAGTATAGCTGGTAGGGTGTTCGCTTTGTATAGAGCCACGGGTTGATTTTCAGCACCTATATGGTCCCCTGAGCCCAGAAGAGATCCCTGAGTGCAGAGCCGGGAGTAAGTCCTGAACACAGCCAGGTGTGGCCCAAAACCAAAACCCAAACCAGAAGAAGCACAAGCCAGAAATATCTGTCCCTGTGACCCAGATTCTGGCCCCTCAGAAACTGTAACATTATAAGTACTTGTTATTTTCAACTACCAGCTTTGGAGGTGACCTGTGACAAGCAATAGATAATAAATATAGTCATCGTTTCAAACTCCTATCACTTGATTTTAAAGACTATTTAGCGCAATGCATTTCCCATACATCTTTAATCACAGAAGAGCAAAGGTTGTGATGCCGGGGATTGAGCTCAGGTTCCCTGGACGTGTGCAAGGCAAGTATCTTCCCACTGTACCATCCCTCTAGCCCTTCTGAAATAATCTTTGTTCAGACTGTTCATTTGGGGGCTTAAATGAGAACTTCCTTTACTCTCATGTTTTCTCTTGTCAGTTGGTATAAAATCTGAGCATCTCAAGAGTATTTTCAGTCCACTCTTACTGGAAAAGGGTTCGGGCCAACTAGCCTCAAATTTTCATGTCACCCTTTATAACAGGATTAAAGTAGTCAGTCAAGAGCTGGCCTCTGAGGAATGCCTGCCCTTAGAGCAGAGACATTGGTCTAAGGCCTAAATCTTTGAAATTTAGCTTGACTCAGGGTACCTCACCATTTCTGGGTCTCACATCAAAACCAGGGGATGAGAGGAAGTTATCTGCTGCACAGGAAGTTCCTTGCACATAGAGTTTCTCCATACATGCTTGGTTTTTCAGTCACAGATCCACAACTGGACAAAACTCCGCTCCACATTTATTATTATGGAGCCCAGTTCCATTATTAATATGTTGGAATTCTAGACATTTTTAAAAAAGATGCATAACAGGAATGATTGACCACGGAAAAGGTAAAATGCAGGAGTATAGTTACTGTACAATATAAATCTGTAGAACTGTGTTGCTATCAGGTGGTCCCATCAGGACCATCTTAGTGCTCTGGGATCAGAAACACCCATTTCTTTCCTTTTTCTTTTTGTTTTTGAGCCACACTTAGCGGTGCTCAAGGCTTACTCCTGACTCTGCACTCAGGGATCACCCCTGGCTCTGGACTTAGGGATCACTCCTGGTGAGGATGGGGGGCAAGGAGGGGCGGGACCATATCGAATGCCAGGGCTTGAACCCGGATTGGTAACGTGCAAGACAAGCGTCCTACCCGCTGTAGTAGCGCTCTGGCTTCTGGAACGCCCATTTCTTAAGCCGATTATTACAGAGTAATTAAAAACTACATTTACATGCTTTTCATATGCACGATTACGTGAACAGTATTCAAGAAAATATCGGGGTCGGGGACGTGGCTCAGCGACAAAACACATGCTTTACCTGCATGAAACTTGGGTTCAGTCTCTGGAACAGCAAAGCAAACAAAACAAGCCTGGGAGTTATGTATGTGGGCATGCAACCCGAAATACGTTAAAGCTTGAAAATGAGATGTACTCTTATAAAATCCTTAATCTTTTCATTTAAAAAAATAAAAGATCTCAAACCAACATGTGGAGCCGGGGATCAAAACTAAACCACTGCATGTGCAAAGCAGGTGCTTTAACTATAAATATATATAAAAAAATATAAATATATATAAAAATATATATATTTATATATATAAATAATATACAGTATAATAATATAAATAATATTAAATTAATATTATTAAACAATATAAATAATACATAATAATATACTTTACTATTAAATAATATAAATAATATAAAATTAAATATTAAATAATATAAATAATAATAAATAATAAATAATATAGATAAATAATATATAGTTAACTACATATAATATATATATCCTCGGCCTCGATGAAAAATAAATAATAAAACGGAGTCCCGGCTTAGAACAAAGGCTTGCTCTCGACGCCCCCGTCGCATCAAGAACCAAGGGACTAGTTAGACTGACTCCCCCGGAGAACAAATCCCTTCCACGGTGCTAGGGACCCGTTTGGCTTCCGCCCCGCCCCCGAGCGACGCGCCTGCAGGCTACGTCACTACTCCCCGCCCCGGCCCCGCCCCTCGGCCCCGCCTCCAAGAGCCGGGCCCGCGTCTTCCGTGAAGCTCCGCAGCGGCGGCCCTTCGGGAGGGAAGTGACGTGAGCGCGCGGCTCGCAGCACCAATCAGCAGGGGCGGCGGGCCGGAGTCCCGGCGGGAGGGCGGGACTTCCGCCCGCGCGGCTGTCCGTCAGGCGGGAGGCGGAAGCGCCGCGGGGGCGGGAAGGTGGTCGGGCTGCCCCGCGCGCCCCGCTTGCCGGCTCTGGGTGGTCGCGCCCCTGTGGGGCTCTCGCGTCCCCGGTAAGTAGGCCGGCCCCGAGGCTCGGGGGATGGAGACGCGTGCGGCCCCGGCGCCGACCTGCTGCCTCCGTCTTCGTCGCGGTAGGTCGGCGGCCGCCCTGGCACCGCGTCGCCGTTCGCTGCCGCCGCTCCTCGCGTGGGGGCCGGGGGCTCCTCCCGACCCTCCCAGGAGTCTCCGGTGCTGTCCCGTCTCTGCTTGGCCGCCCCCCCCCCCCCCCCCGCTTCGCACCCTGGCCCGCGGCCTCCTGCAGCACCGCCTGGCCGCGCTCTGGAGACCCCCCGGCCGGCGTCGCGCTCGGAACCCGCCCGCCGCGCCCGCCCCTGCATCCCCTGCATCCCCTGCATCCCCTGCGTCCCCTGCATCATCTTCCCGGGCTCCCCCGAGAGCATCCCTGCTCCCGCCGGGGGAGTCCCCGCCTCTGGGCCCCCGGAGCTCCGTGGATGCTCGAATGAGACTTTTCTTTCTCTTTTTCTTCCCCCCGCAGGATTCGGGCTTTCTTGAGGGGCGGGAGGAAGTTTGCTTGGTTTGCCTGGTTTGCGCCAGTACCAAAGCCCGGAGTTTGGGAATAAGTGCTCCCATTAGTAGTACTCCAAGGGATGCTTCTTCGCTTTGTGAACTCACGTGAAGGTCATCTCGATTCAATGGTGACTTGCTAAAAAAAGTTTTTTTTTTTTTTCCCTTCCAAATACCTTGCCTAGTGGATAGGACGGAATAGGTACTCATTTTTTTTTCCTTTTAGCTTTTAATCTCTACCTGGATAGCCGGGTGTCTTTTTGAAGCAGTTCTAAAGAAGCATGGAGATGAGTGAGTTTTCTTTTTCTTTGGTTTTTGGGCCACTCCTGGTGGTGGTCCTGGCAGGTTTGGGGGACTGTATGGGATGCCAGTGATCTACCTGCTGTACTATCATTCCTGAGTGAATGGACTGCCTGGCACCGTTGATTATAATGATATAATGAGCGGGTATATGCCTTTAGACGCACTAAAGCCAATCGTGCTCAATATGCTGTCCCCAAGAATGAAAACCTGTGTGCTCTAAGTATATATGCTGAGACTTCCAGCGGTTCAGTGTGTTAAATGACTTAGTGCTTTTTATTTTTTATTTTTGGCATTTTGGGTCAGACCCGGCAATCCACAGGTGTTACTCCTGGCTCTGCACTCAGGAATTACTCCTGGTGGTGCTCAGGGGGCCATATGGGATGCTGGGGATCCAAGCCAGGTCGGCTGAGTGCAAGGCAAACGACGTCTACCCGCAGCACCATCGCGCCAGCCCCTCAGTGCTGTTTAGAGCTGGTTGTGAAGAACTTGGAAAGCTGAAGAGGTTTTGTTGTAGGGAGACTAGGTGTTACTGACAACTTCCAGTGGTGCATTTTATGTATGTACACATTTCCCACAGGTCGAGTTGCTACAGAACTTAGTGGAGGCAGAAAATAGGAGGATGGCAGCAAACCCATCAGGCCAAGGTAAGGCATGGCATTTTAATAGAGAAGATTTAGTATCTGTGTGTGTGTGTGTGTGTGTGTGTGTACCCTGGAGCAGATAGGGTTCCTGCTTTGCACACAGCCAACCCAGTTCTATTCCAGGCACCCAGTAAGGTCCCCCAAGCACCACCAGGAGTGACTCCTGAGTGCAGAGTTATAACTCCTGAACATCTTTGGTGTGACTCTCTAAACAACAACACCAACAAAATTGGCATAAGGGCAGTCACTGTAGCCAGAGTACAAAATGATACCAGAGCAAAGCCCTATATTTGAGATAAATCCAACATTGTAGGAAGTATAAAACATCCTTAAGAGTTGTTAAGACTGTATTTAAATCTATGATGAGAATCATTGTCACTTTCCTTCCGTTGTTCATCGATTTGCTCGAGCGGGCCCAGTAACGTCTCCATAGCGACAACTGTTACTGTGTTTGGCATATCGAATACCTCACAGGGAGCTTGCCAGGCTTTGCCGTGTGGGCGAGATACTCTCAGTAGCTTGCCGGGCTCTCTGAGAGGGGAGGAGGAATCGAATTCGGGTTGGCTGCTTGCAAGGCAGACGCCCTACCCGCTGTGCCATCTCTCCAGCCCCATGATAAGAATATTTATGTTATTAATGTAGCTCCTCTGTCATGAGTCTTCTCATTTTTTTTTAATCAGAACCACTTTTTGGGTTAGAAATATTGTCATTAGGCAGTAATTTTGCCTTTCTGTGCATTTACCCTAAACATTTTCAACACACTGCACCTTTGTCAGGAGCTCTCGAAAACAAATCTGATCAGACACACCAAGTTTTTATTTTAAGATGAGCTTTTGGGGGCGTTGAAGTGATAGTACAGTGGATAGGATGCTTGCCTTGCAGACGGCTGATCTGGGTTTGATCCATGACACCCCACAGGGCCCCCCAAACTGGCCAGAAGTTATTCCTGATCATTGCCAGGTGTGCTGCCCCCCCAAAAAAAAATCCAAAACAAAATAAAAATAAGCTTTTGAAAGTTAAAATGGATCTCTCGGAAATAGGAAGGCCCATTCAAGTAGTTTCTGCCAAGTCTGATGATCCCTCATGTATTTGTGTCACTCTTCTCTGTTCTGAGGTGGGTTTTATTTTTTTAATCTTGGTTTTGCATACATTTTAATATAATTTTTAGTTTCTATAAAAGGAGTTACGCAGAGTGTGCTCCTGCACGCTCAGCTTCTTTCCCTCACTGATCTGAGAACTTGTGTTAGGTGTCAGTGGCTCACTGCATTTTCTTCTGGGGTAAGAGTCCACGTGTAAGTTTTCCAAGGCTTGTTTATTCATTCTCCTGCTTGAGAACTCAGGGCTTGTCTTAGTTTGGATTTTTATGAAAAGCCTTCTAGGATCATTCTTTGTAGTAAGTTCATTTTGTAGACATCTGTTTCTCTTTCTGGGTAAGTAGATAGAAATGGAGCAGCCTAATGTATAACTAACTTTAGGAAAATTTGCCAAACCCTTGCCCAAGAGGTTGTACCATTTTATACTCCCTCTCCCAGGCTATGCAGGTTCTGGTTGCTCACATCCAACATGGACAGGGTTTTGACTTTTAGTCATTCTATAGGGTGTGAAGTGACTCACGTTACAGTGACAACAATGACATATTTCTCTGATGCCTGATGTTCATCACATTTTGGTTTGGGACCTTACCTGGCTGTGTTCAGGCCTTACTCCTGGCTCTGCACTCAGGGATCGCTCCTGGCAGACTTCAGGGATTGTATGTGGTGCGGGGAATCAGACCCGGGTCAGCTGTTTGCAAGGCAAGCGCCTTACCTGCTGTGCTACCTTTACAACCTTTCATTTTTTTCACATTGTTTTGTCCTTGTTCCTAGTTTGCTGATTATTATGTATCTATTTTTCTTAAGCTCTTGAACCTACTTACAGTAGCTAAGTTTTATTTTATTGTTTTTGGGGGGTCACACCCAGCATGCACAGGACTTACTCCTGGTTCATGCACTCAGAAATCACTCCTGGCAGTGCTCGGGGGACCATATGGGATGCTGGGAATCGAACCGGGGTCGGCTGCGTGAAAGGCAAACGCCCTACCCGCTGTGCTAGTGCTCTAGCCCCAGTAGCTAAGTTTTGATGGCTGTGAATTGCAGTTTTGTGAGACCTTCTCAAGTTGGTTTACTGCTTAAGTATGGTCACATTTTTCTTTCCAAGCTTGGTTACTGGATACTAGGTATCATAACCGATATATTGTAGATCATGGACACTACTGTCATCCCCTGAGGTATGATTTTTTTCTCACAAACAGATTGACTCATCTCAAACTCCCAAGTTCTTGCCTGTCTGTGGTTGGGTCGCAACTGTAATCACTTTTCAACTTTCAGCTGCTACTTAATTGTTGGGTTCCCAGGGGAGCTGGTTGAAAGTAGTTAAGCATTGAGCAAATCTCTGGCTTTTTTTGTGTGTGTCTTGTGCCTTAGTCCTGCCTTTACCTAATTTCCAGCCCCTCCCCCAACCCTGAACACTGTGCCTCAGACCAGTAAGATGACACTAGCCAACCTGTTTGTGTGTTGGAGAGTGTGTCAGGCAAGGAACCCTGGTTTCTAGATCTTACCAAGTGTGGTTCTTGCCTGACTTTGGTCAGTTCCCGTTGCCTTCCAATATTGAATTCTCAATACTTTGTTCAGAATTTGTAGTTATATATGTGTGAGGATTAGTCACACTAAGGTACTCTGCCACTTGGTAGGCCAAACGAACAAACACAAACATTGTCCTCCCGTTGTTCATCGATTTGCTCGAGCGGGCCCAGTAACGTCTCCATTGTGAGACTTCTTGTTATTGTGTTTGGCACATTGAATACTCTCGGTAGGTAGCTTGCCAGGCTCTCCGTGAAGGGGTGGAGGAATCAAACCCGGCTCGGCCGGGCTGACTGCGCGCAAGGCAAATGCCCTACCGCTGTGCTATCATTATTTTGTATTGAGTTGCAGTTGGGACAGACTAAAGGTTATGTAAGTTTTTATAGAAATGTAATGCTTACTTTGGTGACAGCATCGTTCTGTTCTCTCAAATAACTGGTGTTATCTGTGCATTCTCTAGACTGATGACAGTCAAACATTACCCTATGATCTGTTTTATTTTGTCTAGTGGTGCCAGGAATCGAACCTAGAGTCTCACGCGTGCAAAGCATGGGCTATATCACTTAGCTCTATGTCCTTAGCTGACCCTGTGGTCTTTGACCTTCTTATCACCAAGTTATAAGGACTCCAATTAAAAAATAATTTAATTGGAACCAGAATGAAAACTAATAACTATTTTAGAAAGTGTAATGCATTTCTAAAAAATCAGTGCTGTCAGAATTAAAATAATTTTTAGATTTTGCCTCTATTCTAATAGCTCAGATGATGGAGATTTACAATTTGCTAGTTATTTTTATTAGCATTTGCAATGAAATGCAATAATTTTTAGTGTTGCTGTCAGTTGGATCCATAGTAGAAGCCACTGATCTAAATAGATACGAATTTAGATTAGTCCTTCGGCTTTTGTTCTTTTGTCAGTGATTTGGTTGGGTGCCTTTAGCTACTGCTGTCAGGCACCAGTAGAGGGAGACCGTATCACGCTCTATAGACTCCTAGGCTCTTAAAACATTTAAACTCTTCTTTACTCAGATCTGTTGTGTTTACTTTATATATATTATTTCTGTACTCTAGTGTATAGGAACTTAATTGGAAATTGAAGGCAAAATGCCATAATATCTTAAAATGAGAACTGAAAGAACCGAGACTTTAAAAAAAACCCACCTTGGCCAGTGCATTCTAATTTATAAATGTCTGTCATGCAGAAGACAGAATCCCATTGTATTCACTGCCCTTCTGGTGTCAGACGTGCTACCGTTGCGCCGCGAGGTCACTCACTGCCCTTCTGTCTCGTCCAGCAGTCTGGAATACTGTAGTAGTAGCCAGACTGCCTGACTTTCACAAGCTCTTAGCAGATACTGTAAAATGATAGGTTTTTTTTTTTTTTTTTGCTTTTTTTTGAGTCACACCTGGCGATGCTCAGGGGTTACTCCTAGCTTTGCACTCAGGAATCACTCCTGGCGGTGCTGGGGGGACCATATGGGATGCTGGGAATTGAACCTGGGTCGGCCGTGTGCAAGGCAAACGCCCTACCCGCTGTGCCATTGCGCCAGCCCCAGAATGATGTTGGTTTTGATGTCCATTGGAGTATGCAACATCTACTCTGTTCCTAATATTTATTTGATTACAGACAACATTTGAAAAAATTATGACACAGAGGCAGATTTTCAAACTGGCCTTTGGCCAAGATTGCATTCCTTTGTAAAAGCCCTTCACTATAGGTAAATATCAGGGTCCTTTGTCCACGTGGTGGCAGTCCGATTGACAGAATCTGATTTCACATACACAGAGATGGAGATGCTAACTAAAGACCAGGTTTTTTAGTTTACAGTTAGGACATGATGCTTAGAAGAAAAACTGTGAGCCCTGCATCTCAGCTCGTGGAAATTACTGGTTTGGGGCCATGCTGGATGCTCTCAGCTGTGATTTTGGGTTGCTATATATAAATGGAAAGATGTCTTTTTTGGACACCATTTGAAGCACCTAAATCATCTGTGGTCCAGAAAGCAAATTTGCCCTTAGGGCATACACTGTAGTTTGCTACCTCTCCATTAAGGTAACAATTCTGCCAGGGGCCTGGAAGATGGCTCGGTGGCTTAAAGCACTTACCTGGTGAGGGAAGCAGAGGCCGTGAGTTCAGGCATTGGTGCTGCCCGGTGTATGGCGGTGGCCAAGTCAGTCTTTCTGTGATCTGCTGTAGGAAGGGCCCGAAAGATGATTCAGTGACTTAAAAAAGTGCCCAGGAATGATCTTGAGGCCGTGTAGCAAACCTCTACTGTGTGTGTGTGTGGCGGGGGAGTACGGGGGGGGGGGGGGGTAGTTCCCTGGTGTTGGAAAAAAAAATGGTTACAGTGATGCATATAAGTTTCCTCAAAATTACTATACTTG